TATGTGTGTATGTATGTGGGCATATATGTATGTATGTGTATAACATTCAACTATTGTAATTGAACAAGATAATTTCCCAACTCAAAAGTTACCCATTTGCATTTTTAAAACAATTTTCACCGTTGTACTATCTATGTTTCCTTTCTCAAATTTGAAGCACTATTGCAAAATGGTGCTCTAAGACACTAGGGGCTACTAGTTTATTTATTTTAATTTTTTTACATACAATATATTTTGACCATATTCTTTCCCATTCTCCAACTCCTCTCAGGTCTTCCCTGCCTCCTTACCTATCCAACCTCATGCTTTCTATTTCTCTGTCTCTTTGTCTCTCTTCCTCTCTGTCTCTCTCTCAAATAAATAAACAAACAAAAAACGAAGGTCAAAACAAACAAAAAAATAATAAAAAAATAAAATGCCAAAAAAGAGAAGAGCATGTTTTGTGTGTGTGCTTTGTGTGTGCATGTGAGTGTGTGTGTGTGTGTTACTCATATAAATTTGTTCATTTCACTGCAGGCTGATGTTGTGGAAACAGGAGATGTAGGTTAGGAAAGCAGAGGAAATTCAGAGCAGTGTGCAGAAAACAACCTGGGTCAGAAAGCAACCTGGGGTGGTGTGCACTGAGGTTAATGTCAGTTCTGTGAGTATGATGGGATGGAGAAAACAGGATCATAGTGTGGTCATGAGTCCTAACAACCAACACAGAGGTGTATCCTCAATATTCTGTCTCCGTTTCCTCGGGGCCAGAGTAAGGGCCTAGATGTCTTTCCTTACATTGTTGCACTGCAGTTCTTTCTTGTCTCATGGGGAGAACTTTGAGGTGGAGTGCCTGTCTCACCATGCAGAAAATCTTCTCACACTCCTCTTCCAACTGAAGGAGTCACCATTACTCCACCTTCCCTTGACTTGCTTTATTTCATAGAGACATTGGAGACTATAAGAAGTTATCTACTTTGAGTGTGCTCTTAACTTAATTTCTCATATTCCTCTCCAGTCTTTATCACCATTCATAATCATGAATACACAGAGCAAGGTGCTGGAAGGTTTATATATTCTCCCAAGCTAGAGAAGAAAGCTTAGGTGAGGGAGAGTTAATAGCTAAGGTATGGCCGCTCTAGAGCTCAAGTTGAAAGCTGGGGGTGCAGAGGCAAGCGCTCAAGTGGATGGCATAATAGAACACCAAAGTGTAAGGTTCACAGCAATGGGAAGGAGCTAGCCCTCCCTGGCATAGTCCACACTTCCTAAAGGCATTATATTTGATTTAAAAAAAAATACCATTCAACCCAAAGAAACACAGCCTGTCATCATACTTCATATTCACAGCCCTTCTCAGTACCAGCTCCAATCCCAAGCCTATATATTATATTAGTTATATTTATATTCATAAACAGTCTTCAGAGATGGGTTGCTGTGGAGGGGACACTTGGTACCTGCCACCCAAAGTATGAGTTACCTGCACTCTGGCCTCAGTGAGGTTCACCCGACGTGCAAGATCTTCTCGCACAAAAGCATCCGGGTAATGTGTCCGCTCGAAGACACGCTCCAGGGCCTGCAGCTGGCTGCTGTTGAAGGTTGTTCTGTTTCTTCGTTGCTTTCTCTTCTTCTTCTCCTCTGAGTTCAACTGATCATCTGGAATGAAATCGATTTGGGAATAAGGAATGAATACCACTCCAGAGGTCCCAGGTGGACTAGATTTACCATTCTCTATAATAGGAGATTGCTCACATCTCTAGCAAAGTACTAACATTAAATGTTACTTTTCTTATACAAATCCTGGCAAGGGTCAAGAATCCTCCTCAGTTCTGGTGCCTTATTAATGCGTCTATATGTAAGATGTGACCTGAGATGGTTGCCTGAAGAATATAACTTGCATGCTTTTTGAAGTCTATTTCATACAAGAGGGCTAAAGGAAAAATCTCATGCTTGTCTCTATTCTCTGTATTTCACTAGAGATGGAGAAATAAAAATAAATCACATTTTATCTTATTCCCTTACACAATATGATGCTCATTCATACAGTTTTATTACCAATTATACCAGCCCCCTCCTGGCTCCTCTCCAAAGCACAGACCCAAGGTCACAAGTTCACATTTACAGAAGAGAAACTGCTCAAACCCAACCAGAAGGACTTCCATTTTAACATGCTTTCTCTTTGAAGCAGTGACTCAAAACAATATTCACTACTCCACGCTATTGCCCAAGCAGGCTTCAGCTTAGATCAAGGTTAATGTCAGGAACAATACCAGGAACCCAAGCAACCATTATCTTGGGACTCACCCTAAGAAAACACAAGGGCTGTTTCCTGAAACAGTGAAATGTTGCACTCTATATTGACTAGTAGGGTCCTGAGGATTGGAGGAACCTTTGGAAAATTACATCACTGAATGGGGTGTACAACCCCTGCTGGGGTCTGTCTTGGGTTTGCTATGAGTTATCCCAAAGCCATCTTGGTTTGCTAATCATTCAACAAGCAGCATGCCTCCATTAGAGAGTAACATGGGCCTGTCCTGAACCCTTACCCAGCCCCAGGACAAGAATTATTGAGTGTGGAAAACCGAGTGGTTGACCAACTGTGCTAACATCACCATCAACCCATTGTCCAGACACTTGAACTTCCCAGAGCCTATATGGCTCATCTCCGATGCATTCCTTTATGGCACATGCTGTGCATTAGCTTCTCAACAGAGAAGCTCAGCCCCCCAAAACATTACATAAAGTAAAGATGATGCGAAAAAAGAAGTTTTATATTTTCTCCATCCTCAACGAAAAGGAGCTCTCAGCTCTTTGTTTCTAGCACATCTAATCTTGGTTTTCTGTAACTAAACATACACACACACACACACACACACACACACACACACACACACACACACAGTACTATTAACAAAGCTGCTAACAAGAATTAAGATGTATCATCAACATCCACCTCAGATGTAATATTATTGTTGCCACAAACTAATAAATTAGAGCCTGTTCTAGATTTATGTTTTGGTTCAAAGTACAGGTGAGACCTAGGACTCCTGCAGAGCAGATCTCTAGGTGCCTGATGGCCAAGACTACTATCTCCACACTCTGAGACTCCTTCTTCCTCCAGCTTCTTCAGGATTTAGAATAGACACTATATATTGTCCTTGGTAATTAAAGGCCCAGATACAATAAACACTGGCTGAAGTTTTTTTCCATGGGAAACATGAAACTTCTCTTATCCTCAGAAATGTTTCTATAGAAAAAAAAATGTGTAAGATCCTACCCAATTTCTCTAAGAAAGAGACTGTTGGCCACTGTTCTCTGACTGATACATGAGCTCCATTAATCCTCTTTGTTTTTGATACTTATGGCACCTTGATGGAGCTTCCATCACACTCTACTGAAACTATCAAAGCAGCCATGTTTTGATGATTCATTATTTAAATCATAATTTCTAAGGTCTCCCCAGGCCTAGAACATTCATGACTGACACTGTTTACCTATTAGGAAAATTAATTGACAATAACTTCAACACTATAATTCAGACATATAGGACCTAAAGTCTTTTAGCACTTCTCTTGCATGTACAATCTCCTCCCTGTTCAACTGTTTGAAAACATTTATATTATTCTTATTGTCTTCCCTCCCCACCCCAGATCTCTTATCCACAGCTCAATACGCCTAGCTCTTTGGGTATCTCTGAGTCTTCAGGGACTTTGAGACCAGTACCTTATTATGAAATTTCATGTTTCCATTAAACATGAATCTGCAAAATGTTCTTAACTTCTATACTCTTCTAAATTTGAGGCCAATCAGACCACAAGTTAATATTTTTCTCATATAAAGAAATCCCCAGATTAAGTAAATACTCTGATTTTTCTTCACTCAAGAAAAAACTTTCTCCTATTTAATCACAAGCTCCAAATCCTTTGTTCTGTTTTGTGATCCTGTTTCTCCTTGTACTGCCAAGCTCTGATAAAGGTCAAGAATATTTCATGTCTTGTTCTTGGTGCCACAACCTGCCACATAATCACTCGGTAGTTCTTTGAAATCTCCCACTGTTCGTTGAAATTCCACTGACTGTCCACTATAAAAACCACCAACTCCCCTGACGTGGGAGTAAGGGAAATGAAGGATTACAGTTTATGACAGGGGATAAATAGCTATGATGATCTCAAGTGATTCCAGCAAGAGCTTCCCAGTGAAGGTTCTTGTTGTTTTTAACAAATGAAAACATCAGTTCACATCACATTGAAGGTGAGAAAAGACATGCAAATAACAAGAGTCTCAGGAGTCTATCTCTGGCCAATGTCCTTCAAAGCCCAAGTCAAATGGAAAGAGACAATGAGTAGGCAGCTGAGACAGCATGCGCGGCAGCCCTTTGGCTCATCTGTCTTTGCTCACTCCTCACAGTCTGAGAGGTTTCCCTACCACTGAGGAACAGGCCCGGGGATGGTGTCTTCCACAGCAAGAGAGCATAAGTAAATACTGGCAAGGTTTACAAATTCAGGGCTCTTGAAAAAACGTGTGATACATACATTCGTCAGACTTGGGGCTCTGGTTGAACACAAGGAAGGAAAGCAGTGGGTGTTTATCAGAGCCGGAGGGTCATCTTTCTGTGGAGGGCAGCCATAGTGAAGGGGAATTTCAAAAGATGTGGTCCATAGGCACTAATATCCAAATGGATGATGGAATGGGCATTATTCTTTAGCATCCTGAAGGGATTGGGTCCTTAGCACACATAATAACCATGAATTGTGAATACATTTTGTTAAAATCAAGGGATGATGAATCATAAAATGCACCAAATAAAACACAAAAAAAGGACCTAATCCATCCCTCTCATTTTGCAGATGAGGTAGGGACCTAGAAGAACAGAGTGATTTGCCCAAAATAATAACTAAAATTTGAGATTTCTAGACAAAGCTGGAGGCCAAGACACCTAATTCCACTCCATTCTTACATACGAATGGCAATATTCATGCTGTGCCATAGACAAACAAGAAAGCATCCACAAGGTAAATAGACTGCTACCTGGGGAAATCATTCATGGGAAATGTTTCATCATGCTAGCTGTTATAAAGATATTATAAGGAGGGTCTGCGAACAAGAATCAATGTGTCATATACTATTCTTGCTGGAATGCCCATTAAAAATGAAGCCATGTTCATTTGAGTTGGCTGTTTGCTTCGAATATTCTGTGCTTTCTTATTCAGATGCCTTCTTCAGTATCTCTGGTTATTTTCACACAAAAGAACACCCCATCTTCAAACTTTTCCCCAGGAAACATATGGGCACACTTCTCTTTCATTTTAAGAGACACATTAAACTTGATGTGTCATAGAAAAGACATCTCGCATTTTACTACCTGTGTTAAGACTTGGCCAATAATTTCATTCCATATTGACCTATCCCTTTCCAAATCCCCGCGCATATGTTAGTATTTTATCAAAAACTATGTAAAAATTATGGTGCAATTCTTTCCAGGTGGATATTCTTGCCATTGCGCATTCAATCATTACTGTGGAAGAGATACAGGAAGCCCAGATGAGCCGACAACAAAGGTTGGAAGAGTTAGACCTATGCTATCATGCAGAAGCAGGGCCCAGAGAATTAGAACCCTGGTGTGTAGCATGAATCTTAGAGGTACTTATTAATAAAATTAAACCTGAGGCCAGTTATTGGGGTGAATGCAGGAAGATCAGAGAAGCAGAACAAGCCACAGCTACCTCACCTTGCCAGTTCCTCAGCTCATCCTGCTTCTTCAGACTGGAAGCCTCTGAATCCTTATCCGAATGAATCTCAGCTGAACTGCTTCTTGAAAGCCTGAATGCTTAACCAGGCAAATGCTGCTAGTTTCTGGTCCTCATGCCTTATATACCTTTCTGCTTTCTGCCATCACTCCCTGGGATTAAAGACTCACTTTCTGGGATTAAAGGCATTGAGTCACCATGCTTGGCTGTATCCTTGAACACACAGAGATCCAGGTAGATCTCTGCCTCTGGAATGCTAGGATTAAAGGCATGTGCTACCACTGCCTAACCTCTATGTTTAATATTGTGGCTGTTCTGTTCTCTGACCCCAGATAAGTTTATTGGCGTGCACAATATTTCGGAGAACACATTACCACCACACTGGTGTCTAAAGGACTTGGTGATTCCTGAATGGTGATGATTCTTTTAATAGTGCAAAACAACTAATTAGGTCAGGGATGTCTTTGTTTCTGGATAATTTTAAATACAGTAGGAAAAACAATTCTTTTATAGTGTGTCTTCTTAAGAGCTAGACAGAGGAAAAAGCCTTGGGGTCTTGTTGCTTTGTAAATGCGAGGCTCAGCCCTTCATTTTCACCTCTTATGTGAAAAGCAGCTTTGAGATGATTGAGTGATTTAAATAATTGGGAACACACACAAGACAGAAATGCTAAAGGGTGATGTTTTCAGTGGGTCAGAGATGAAACGCTTCACAAGGAAAAGGGGTCAGAAACCCTTGCAGGAGAAATTGTGTATTCACACATGGCTTGAAAAAAACAATAATGCCCACCCTGGCTGTATCATAAAGTTTCCTCTGCATTCTGCATGAGATGGCTGGTATTGCCCTGGAAGTAGTGTGCAGAAAGCAAAAAACTATCCCTTCAAGTATCAGGACCAGGCAACCATGGCA